TCTACTAAGTGAGGTATCCCAAGAATGGAAAAACAAGCACCACATGTACTCACCATCAAACTGGTATTAGCTGATCAACGTCTAAGTGCACATATAAGAATAACATGTATTGGTTGTTGGGCAAGGGAAGGGGGGAGGGGGGAGGAGGGGACGGGCACATGCACAAACAATGAGTGCGATGTGCACCTCCGGGGGAATGGACACACTTGAAGCTCGGACTTGGGGGTAGGGAGGGTAAGGGCATCATACATAACCTAGTCATCTGTACCCCTATAACATGCTGAAATGAAATAAAAAAAAAAAAGAAAAAAAAAAAAAGAGTAACATCAATAGTGACGAGTCATGTTGACAGTATGCTCCCTTGATGTGATGTGATGAAAATAGCACTTCACTTCCACAGTCTTCCTCTCCGAAATACACAAACCCCAGTATAATCATGAGAAAAACATCAGACAAATGCCGATGGAGGAATATTCTACAAAATACCTGACCAGTACTCCTCAAAACTGTCAAGATCATCAACAACAAAGAAATTCTGAGAAACTGTCACAACCAAGAGGTGCTTAAGGAGACAGGACACTAATTGGATATCCTGGATGGGATCCTGGAACAGTTAAAGGACATTAGGTAAAAACTAAGAAAATATGAATAAAGTATAGACTTCAGTGAATAATAATGTATCAATACCGGTTCATTAATTGTAATAAACATACTAATTTAAGAGGTTAAATTAGGGGAAACTGGGTATGGAGGAGATAAGAATTCTCTACTATCTTCATAATTTTCCTGTAAATCTAAAGTGTATTTTTTTAAAATGAACGAAAAATATATTCCCAGATGAACAACAACCTAGAGAATTCCTTGCTAGCAAATCTGCCTTACAAGAAATACTAAGGAAGTTCTCCAGGCTGAAAAAAAAGTGACACCAGACAATAATTCAGAATCCACATGAAAAAAAAAAAATAGTGCAAAGAAAGGTAATTATGTAGGTCATTATAAAAGATAGTGTAATTGCATATTTCTTCTCTTAACTGGTTTAAAGCAAGTTCATAAAACAATACATACATAATTATATTTGGGGGACTATAACATATAAAAATGTAATATATTTGAAAGTAACAGAACAAAAGAGGCAGACTGAAACAAAGTGTATTTGCATGAGCAAATAACACCAGATAGTAACTGCAATCCACAAGAAGAAACAGAGAAAACCACAAATGGTAAATAAAAATGTTAATACAACAAACTCTATGAACATATTTTATCTCCTTTCTTCTTTCAGTTTTTGGAAGCCTTGCTCCCACCATTTTAAAAATTAACTCATAATGGATCATAAACCTAAATGTAATAGCTTTAACTATAAAACTGTTAAAGAAAGACATAGGAATACATCTTCATGATATTGGGTTAAGCAATGGTTTCTTAGATATGATACCAAAAACATAAGCACAAAAGCAAAAAATAAACTGGACTCCATCAAAATTAAACACTTTGGTGCTACAAACAATACCATCAAGAAAGAGAAAGAAAACCCATAGAATGGGAGAAAATATTTACAAATCATATAGAGATGGTCCTCTTCTTACAATGGTTCAGTTTACGACTTTTTTACTTTATGATAGTGAAAAAGCAATATGCATTCAGTAGAAACTGTATTTGGAGTACCCACACAATCATTCTGTTTTTCACTTTCAGTACAGTACTCAATAAATTACATGAGATATTCAATACTTTATTATAAAATAGACTTGTGTTAGATGATTTTTGCCTAACTGTAGGCTAATGTAAGTGCTCTGAGCTAGGCTAAGCTATGATGTTTAGTAGGTTAGGTATATTAAATGCATTTTTGACTTATGACATTTTCAACTTACAATGGGTAAGTTAAAAAAATAAATAACCCAATTATAAACTGAGCAAAGGACATGAATATACATTTCTCCAATAAAGATAGACAAGTGGCCAATAAATACAAGAAAAGATGCTCAATGTCATTAAGGAAATTCAAATAAAAATGTCAAGAAGATACTACTTCATACCAACTAGGAAGGCCATTAAAGAAAAACTAAAAATATTAATAACAACTGCTGGCAAAGATGTACACAAAATGGAACCCTCATACATTGTTGGTGGGAATGTAAAACGGTATAGCCACTTTGCAAAACAGTTTGGCAGTCTCTCTAAATCTTAAACTTAGAATTACCATATATAACCCACAATTCCAATTTTAAGTATATGTCCGAGAGAAAAGAAAACATAGATCCACAGAAAAAAACTTGTATAAGAATGTTCACATCAGCATCATTCAAAATAGCCAAAAAGTGGAAACCAAGATGTCTATCAACTGCTGAATGGATAAATACAATGAGGTTTAGCCATGTAATGGAATATTATGCGGCTATAAAAAGAAACAAAGTACTGATATATGCTACAACATAAGCCTTTAAAATATCATTTCTAGTTAAAGAAGCCAGTCATGAAAGACTACATATTATATTATCCCCTTTATATGAAATGTCCAGAATAGGCAAGTCCATGGAGACAGAAAGTAGATTAGTGGTTGCCTAGGGCAGGAGGGTGGGGGCCAGGGGAGGTGGAGAATGGAGAAGGATTTCTAAAGGGTAAACATTGTGCTGATGGTTACACAACTCTGTAACTTATATTAATACTATAAACCTGTGGTCCCCAACCCCTGGGCCGCGTACTGGTACCAATTCATGACCTGTTAGGGACTGGGCCACAGAGCTCCGCCAGCCCCCAACACCCATCCGTGGAAAAATTGTCTTCATGAAATCAGTTCTTGGTGCCAAAAAGGTTGGGGACCACTGCTATAAACCATGGAACTGTACACTTCAAATGGGTGATTATATGGTATATGAATTATATCCCAATAAAGCTGTTTTTAAAAAGTTGACAGGAAAACTAAAATATACTAAGCAGTACAGGCTTTTAAAAATCAATTTTAACTTTTACTTGTAATCCAATAACTATTGCCTGCCACTTTGTACTGAGACTGGTTTTTTTGCAGAAGGTACTGGTTCTCTATCAAGGATATGAAGTGGAAGCCATGACAAAACTGAGGCAGATGTAGTAATCCTGTGGCTTTTTGGCCATTGTAGGCAGGTTTGGTGCCACGCACATTGATGGGGACACTTCAGGCCCATTCAAGACAATGACACTAATAATTATGGGAATGGCTTTAGAGGCTGACAAAGCATCACTGCATGTGGTCCTATTTAGTCCCCATAACAAGGGCTGTGACCTCTGTTTTACAGATGTGGGAACAGTCCTGTCTAATGAAAAGGCTTGTTCCAGGCTAGAAACTGGTAGCATCAAAGAATGATGGGTCTTCTGATCATGAGTCCACCCTCCAAAAAAGTTCTCTTTGTATCATATCCTACGTGCATCTCAGTTACGGACATTCATAGCCTGAGCAGCCACCGCACCAGGTGAGTTCTGTGTTTCAACAGCTCACACACACTCTCTCTCTCCTTTACATAAAACATTCTATTTTGGCATGTGCACTTTTTCTCATGTTATAATAGTTACTATATGCACTATACATTTTTTACGGGTATAGACACAAAACTTTGAATATTGTACTTTCAGAAATTCTCGAGTATTATTTGGACTCTATGAAATTTTTCTTATGAGCTGATTATAGAACCCAACCCAGTCGTAAAATGCAATGAAGGTCTCCGGGTGCCACTTTCTGCTTTGATGGCTATTTTGATTTTTATGGTCTAGACTTTTCTAGGTAAACAACCAAGGTGGCTTGAATCTTGGTAGACACTGACTCGAGTCCTTGTAGACAGAAGGAGACAGATATCAGAAACGGCATGTTTTGCCCTCTCCTACCTCCTCTACTTGTAGGGTTTCTCTTTCGATTTTTCCAAGTAGCTCATTTCTCAGCAAATACTCCTTGTCCAGACTGATGTGTATTTCCATTGCTCGGTGAAGCTTGCTCTGAAATATAACAACACACCAAGTCTTGAGCTAAGCTGACCTCTTAGAACTGCGGGAAGGGCAGACAGGTCTTTGTTAAGTAGGAGAAAAGCAGGACCATCCAGGAACTTCAGACTGCCCTTCTCACAGTTGCCTAGATTTTCAGAATCTTGGTGTCTGAGATCTGGCAGGGGAGGAGAGGATCTCAGGGTCTTGCCTTCAGCTGGAGAGGCAGAGAGGTCAGACACACCTGGACCCAAATCCTGCCCCACTACTTACTAAGAGAAACTCTGAGCAAGTCCCAGAGCCTCTCTATACTTGATCCAATCACCTCGCAGGGTTGTGGAGAGGCTTACAGGAGACATCTGGGTAGAATGCTGAGCACAGCACCTGGCACATGGAAAACACTCAAAAAACAGCTGTCATGACTACATGGATGGAGAGGGAGGAATACTCCCCAAGAGATGGGTGCTACTGCTATTCCTACTGACAGGTGAAGGAACTGACCCCCACGGATGTGAAACAATTTCCCCCAGGTCACAGAGACAAGGGTGAGCCAGGAATTGAGCCCAGGCAGTGTGATTCCACCGCGCATAGGCTCCACCACTGTCGCCCTTGCCTAATGAGGCTGGGCCTGCTGGTGTCAGAAGAATCGCGCAGGAGCTGCCTGCCAGATTCCTGTCGCAGCATTTGCCCTTCACCAGCTCCTGCAGGCCCCTGCTTCTCAGACTGGCCCCCTTTCAACCACTCTCTCCCAGTGGGTTAGAGTCAGCCAGAGGAGTTGAGATATGCTCTACTTCGCTGAGGAGTGGGCCTAGGGAAGGAGCTGGTGATTTCAGGGGGCTCACTCAACAAACCCTGAGAACCCACTCACCCTGCACCAGGCCCTGGTCAGCAAAGCAACCTAGGCCCTGCCACAAGGGGGCCAGCTCACAGTCTGGACACAGGTGGGGAGGCAGTCAAATAACTGGAAGAAGAAACGCAAAACTGCAACTGTGCCAAGCTGTAAGAATGCCAGGACAGTGAGAAGAGGTTTTGCTGCAGAAGAAATGCTGGAAAGAGGGCTGGAAGGTGGAGTTAATATGTGCAGGTGAAGAGGAAAGAGAGAACATTCCAAACTAAGGAAAGCGGCTAGGAGAGGAGGGTCTAACAGGAGCTGGGAGAAGGGGTAAGAAGCCACAGGGCCACAGTCAACGTGAAAGGAGAAGTAGGAGGATGCAGGGGCATTGCCCCAGAGTGTCAAAACTTAGATGTAGCAGAAGAGCGTGGAGCCACCTGCCTGGGGAACCTTTGGGCACCCAGAGCCATTCCTCTCCCCACTCCTCTACAGCCCTCACTTCTCTAAGGCTCACTGCCTGCTTCATGCCCTGCATGGAAGTTGCAATGCTTAGGAAAGCAAAAGTGAACAAGAGACCAGATTGAGGGGGCTCAGCTGTGGGCGGGGGAGGCTGGGCAGGAAGGGATGGAACTACAAGGGCATCACTGGCTCTGTTGGGCATGGCCATCATGATGTGTGATAAGGGCTTAATTTGTGATGCTGAGTTAAGCCTTCAGTCACTCGAGGAGGCCACTTCTGAAAAGGCATGCATTCACTTTCCACTGCTGCATAACAAATTACCACAAACTCTGTGGCTTAAAGCAATATCCATTTCTTATCTCATGTTTCTATAGGTCAGGAGGCTGGGCACAGTGAGGCTAGACTATCTGCCCACAGTCCCCTGGGCTGAAATCAAGGTGTCTGCCAGGGCTGTGGTTCTTGTCAGGATCTCAGGGTCCTCTTCCAGGCTCACTTCTTGTTGGCAGAATGCATTTCTCTGAAGTTGTAGGACCAAGGTCCCTATTTTCTTCCTGGCTGTCAGCAGGAGGTTGCTCTCAGCTCCTAGAGGCCCCTCTCAGATCCCTTCCAAGTGGCCCCTCTGTCTTCAAGCCAGCAACAAAGAACTTCTCACCCAGCAAATTCCCTTTGTGCTTCACATCTCTGACATCCTTTTCCAGAGAAACTCTATGATTTCAAAAGGCTTGTGTGATTCGGTCAGGTCCCCATGGGTAATCTCCCTATCTTAAGGTCAACTGTGCCATATAATATAACCTAATCATAGAACAGAATAGAACTTAATAACAGAACCCATCATATTCACAATCCTGGCTGGGGTGTATACACCAGGCGGGCAGGGAGTCTTGAGACATCTAAGAATTCTACCTACCACAAGGCACCAGGTCACTAGTTTACAGTCAGTCAGGGGTGACTCATCCCAGCTGTAGTGAAATGCTTATATTCTACCAGACTCCACCAGGCAGAGCTTGAGGGCATAAGGTCAGAGAAAAAGGTGCCACCTTAACTCAAGTTCACTCATGAAACTCACGGAAGAGAAGAGACCGTGTCCCCTTAGCACTTAGCCCTGCGCCTGCCATACTGTGGGTATGGGTACTGTGCGTAATGGAGGAAAGTTATTCTGCATGTTGTTAACAAGGCCTCTCACACTTGGGTGTTTGATGGTTACATCAAAGTGGCCTGTCCCCCGCCCCCTCCCCCCAAAACCTGAACTGCCAGCTGCTCATTCCACAGCATTGGCTGAGCCCCTGCTTTAGCCAGGCACTGTCCTGGGTGCGAGGGACACAGCACAGACTAGACAGAGCTCCATCCTGCTGGCAAGACACAAAAACTTGCCTCTGAGAGGTGAAGAATCCCTTCAGATGAAGCCCATCCCCCAGCAGAGCTGCCATTTAAGCCCAGGTGAGGTCTGACTCCACAACTCACAGTTGTTTTGCCTCCATTTCCCCCAGGAGACCTGAGAATTGAGACACAGAATGGCTCTCATTCCGCCCGCTGTGGCCTGTGTCACTGATGCTCGGGTATTGCAAGCAATGTAGACCCTGGGCTAGAGTGCCATGGCATCAGCCTAGCTCACAGCAACCTCAAACTCCTGGGCTCAAGTAATCCTCTTGCCTCAGCCTCCCAACTAGCTGGGACTACAGGGGGATGCCACCACACCTGGCTAATTTTTTCTATTTTTTGTAGAGACAGGGTCTCGCTCTTGCTCAGGCTGGTCTCAAACTCCTGAGCTCAAGCGATCCTCTTGACTCGCCTCCTAGAGTGCTAGGATTACAGGCGTGAGCTACCGCACCCAGCCCCTTTGCAGGGTTTTAAGGTGGGAAGTGCTTTATTATAAGCCTAAATTAAACAGGACCTAAATGTGATTAGTTCTCAAAACTCACCATGCATAAAAATCATGTGGGGAGTTAAAAACAACAAAACAAGATGTGAGACCCTTACCTCCTAATTCAATTAGTCAGGGTGGGACTGGCCATTGGTATATTTTTCAAAAAGAAAAAGCCCCCAGATGGTTCTCATGCATAGCCAGGGTTGTGGCAGCATTTAGGGAATTTTAGGAGGCACGGCTTTGGTGAGTGAAATCAGGCAGGAGCAGGATAGTGAGGGACACCTAAGCACTGTGTGAAACTGCTGTGTACACAGGAACCTCCCTGTGGCCAGAAAGGTGGGTGTGGGAAGCCTAGCGGGGCCCTAGGCATCAGGGATGGCCTTACTTTGTAGGTGTTGAGGACCTGCAAGGTGTTCCCAGATGCCAGCTTTAGCTGGATCAGTTCTTGATTCCTTCCTTCAATCGTCTCCAAAAATTGAGCGTTCTCCATCTTTAGCTGCTGAAAATCAACTTCGTGGAGGGCCTCACCCCCCTCTTCCTTCTATGGCTCAGAAAGAAGAAAAGATGGGAGCTTCAGCTGTGATTCTGAATGTATGGGTCGCATTTCGCAACTCTTGGTAAAACTTTGCAGGTCATTCCGTCATTCGACAAACATGCATTGGGCATCTGCTTGGTGCCGGGCATGCTGCTAGGCATTGGGAATAGAGATTTGAGTAAATACAATGTTCCCTAGCCTCAAGGAGAAGAGATGAAGGTTCACAAACAGGCCCCAGGTACTGACTCATCGGCGTGGTGCTCTGGGATGGGCAGGGGGTGGAGGGTGCACAGAAGCCCCTCAGCTAGGCCAGGGGAGGATGAAAGGCCGAGTCAGGGAAGGCTTCCCACAGAGGGTGGTGCCTAAACTGGACCCTCAAGGAAGAGTAAGAATCAGGCCATTTAAAAGTTGTTTTTAACCAGGAAAACCCAGGAAAAGCAGCCCATGAATCCCCCTCCTTTGATTGTATGACGTTTCTGCACTGTGGATCTATTAGTGTATTGGATTCCCTCCCTGACTGCCAGGTCCATGGCATCTTACCTGCCCTGCCAGGCCTATGCCATCTTATATTTGTGACAGCAACAGCCCAAATTGAGGACTGCTGCTGCTCCCACACCCCGCTCTCCTCATCCTGTGCTACCTCCTGAAGACGCGTCTCGTCTTCCCCTTTCCAAAACAATACCGCAATTTCCTTAAGCCCAAACGACCCATTCTCCAGCTCCAATGCTCCCAATCTGTTTTCTATACCTGAGGGTAATCTCTCTCTCTCGCTGAGCCTCTGGAAGCTTTAGCTACATGGTCCTTGATTCTGTTGCCCCTGTATACAGTTCCATGTACATGCTGCTGCCCACTAGTGCGTCCTCTCTTCTGGCAGCACCGCTGAGCACTCCCCCTTGCCACCCCGCTGGCTCACGCTCCTCCATGAACTCTAGTTTACCAATTCTTTCAAGTGTGGAGCTCACACTGGGATGCGACACTCCAGGTTGGGGCTGCTCAGACAGAGCGGACCAAAGACACCCCTTTCTTGGTGTGGGCACTGTATTTCTATCAGTGCAGCCTAGGCCGTAACACCGCCACCAGCTGACAAGATGTTATCAGGTACTCTAAGGCTGAGCCACCCTGTACCTGTGCAGATATTTTGGGGGGACCCAAGTGGGGGATCTTACATTTGTCTTTAGTCTCTTTATGTTAAAACTGTCCCAGCTTGTGGAGATCTTTCTGGACCCCAGGTCGATCAAGCAATAGTCCCCTGACATGTTAGTTCTCCTGCCCAATTTTGTGTCATTTAGTGGTCCCCTTTGACGTGCATGCCATCAGTGCCCATAGTCAAGTTCATAATAAAAATATTGAGCTGGGAAAGGACAGAGCCACGTATCCCATTCTAGAGGCCCTGAGTCATGTTTGTCTCTAATCAGCAGCCATTAGGGTCAGCCGGCCAAAGACTCACCAAAGCACAGTCTAACTGTGCCACCCAGGCCGCATCCCCTCAAAGGTCAACAAGTATGTCATGAGGGTTTTTTTAATTCAAGCCGACTCTATCTATAGAAAGCCCCTTATCTGCCTGCATAGCAACTGTATTCGTTTCCTATTGCTGCTGCAACAAATTTCCACAAACCTAGTGGCTTAAAATAACACAAATTTATCTTACAGTTCTGGAGGTCAGAAGTCTGAAATGGTTTGGGGGCTAAAATCAGGGTGTTGGCAAGGCTTCATTCCTTCTGGAGGCTCTCAGGGAAAATGTTTCCTTGTCATTTCTAGCTTCAAGAGGCTGCCCACATTCCTCGCTTCATGGCCCCCTTCCTCTGTTGTAAAAGCTCATCGCTCTAATCTCTGCTTTTGTTATCATATCTTCTCTTCCCCTCCTGCCTCCCTCCCATAAAGAGGGGGATTACACTGGGCCTGCCCAGGTAATCAGAGAGCATCTCCCCATCTCATGATCCTTCAATTAATGACATCTGCAAAGTACTTTTGCTATATGAGGTAACACATTCACAGATTCCAGGGATTAGGACGTGAGCATCTTTGGGGGGGCCATTACTCAGCCTACCATAAGAAGAAAGAAAGAAAGAAGTCACATACCTGTCTCAATTGTAAAAGCATTTTTTTCCTCTGAACTTTGAGAGAAATATTTTTCAAACGTAATTTGTCCTTCATATTATCCTATAAAATAAAGGCATATTTTAATCCATTTAATACATTTATCTTCTTTTTCCCTGTTGGTTTGAAAAATTGGTAGGTCTAAGGCTGTAAACCAAAAGTTGAGCCCTAACATTCACTCACTTATTTCAAATTCTTTTACTTCCACCCAAGCTGGTGCTGCTAGGACATTTCACTCATAATCAAGAAAGGAATCTGCTCCATGCATATTTTATATTGCTTTTAAGTTCAAGATTATTTGGGTGTATGCTACTGTAGGGGCCTTTCCTGACAAAATGATCTTATGATTTTTTGGTCTTTTATTGTCATGGTAACTTACATAATTTTTATTACTCTTAACATGATAGGGTTAGTAACAAGATCCAAAACTTGACATATATAAAAATCTCTGGGAATGGAGTACCCCAAAATTCTCCTTCCTTTCCCAGGCCAGCCCAAGGTCCATCCCCTTATAAAATGGGAACTCAAAGAGCTTGAGATTCACTTGCCCCTTCCACAGTCACCAGACCCAGCCTCACTCCTTTCTCAAGAAAATACATCAGATCTTGAAACAAATAACAACAATAAAAAAGAAGAAGTCGATCTGAGATAGTATTGATATGCATCCAGCCTGATTGATTTTAGCCTTGATAAGCATGCATTTTAAAACATGCACACACACATACAATTTTAGGGATGCAAAAAAATCTGCATATGTGGGCAACACATATGGTGGACCAAGTGGAGTTGGGCTGCCTCGCATGGATAATTCTATGTCATCCTTGTAAGAATCCACTCCCCCTTTCTAAGCGCTAATTGCCTGCCAACTCACCCTCCGGCGGTTTGTGTCCTCAATGTACTTCATCACTTTCTCAGTGGCCAAAATACTCCCTTTCTTCTTGGATATGGTTTTTAGAATATCTTTTTCAAACTCGTGCACTTCCTTCTGAACTTCAGTCCATCGAATGTCAGCTTCCTCGATGATAGCCTGGGGGAGTCAACACAAAGAGAAAAGAGAGTTTCCAGAAATCCTCAAGGATATATCCTCTAAGGAAACCTAAGTTCCCAGGCCTCTTTGTGTCCTAATACACGATGTTTCTTCTTAGTCTTAGAAAGATATCCTTAAGATACAAACTTGACCATATGAATATTATTATTAAAAAGTATTCCTCAAAAAATAGTATCCATAAGAAAAGAGCAAACAAACAAAAGCAGGGTCTCAGGCATCACTATCCATTAAAAATTATATTGGGGGGAAGAGGGGGTAAGGGCAACATACGTAACCTAAATATCTGTATTCCCATAATATGCTGAAATAAAAAAATAAAATAAAATATTTGTATTAAAAAATTATATTAAAAATATCTGGAAGGATATATGCCAAAACACGAACCATAGTTACATCTAGAGAGATGGATTAGTGGGGAGATAAACAAGCAGTCTTATTATATACTTCTATTACTTTTAAAAAAGATGTTATAAAGCTAGGCATGGTGGCATGCACCTGTAATCCCAGCTGCTCAAGAAGCTGAGGTGGGAGGATCACTTGAGTCCAGGAGTTAAGGCTGTAGTGAATAGCCACTGCACTCCAGCCTGGACAACATAGAGAGACTCCCATCTCCAAAGAAAAAAAGTGTTATAAAATGAATATATGTTTGACATGGAGAGACAATTTCACCTTATTAAGTGAAAAATATAGCTTACAAAATAATATATCTCCTTTTATAATAAATTTGTATATATGTGGAAAATTAAAATTATATATTAGAAAATATATGTAGTAAATTATATAAGGAGATAAATACAAGGGTCAACAGTAACTATTTCCCAGGGGTATCATTGTAGATGTTTTCAAATTTTCTTGTAGCTTAACTATCCCACAACCAACATAGATTACCTTGAAATAAGAAAACACACTATTTTAAAGAATCAAATGGTAAGGTATCTGGAGCCACACAGCACATCATCCCAGTTCAGGCTTTTTCCAGGGCCTGAGAAGCAAAAGCATCTTCACTGGCTGGCCTTAGGCTCCAGCCTCTTCCCAGCCCATCATCTCTTTGTGCTGGAACATCAATCCACCTGAAATGGTGCCTTCAACACGTTGCCCTCCTGCTCAGTTATCCTCAATGGGGTCCGGAGTTCTAAGACATCAAAGATAAACTCCTCTGCCTGGTTCTCAAGGTCTCATTGCCCTACTCAACCTGATTTCCTAATACAGCCTCCAAAGCACCCTCTTCTCTAATCACACGGGCCTCCTCAATGTCATGATCGTGCCATGCTCATGATTACCTTCGCTTCCTTGCTCATGTCTTTCTCCTTACCTAGATTGTCCTTCTTTCCCTATGCCTTAAACAAATGCCATCATTCTTCAAGGTCATGCCAAGTCCCATGCGAAGCGCCACCTCCTCAACAAAGTCTTTTGACCACTGTAGCCCATACTGATCCCTCTCTGCACTTGACACTTACATCACGAAATCTAGCAGGTCAGGGCAATGCTACCACATCCTAAGCTCTTTTAACTTGCTAGAATTCAGCAATACATATTTGGAAAGAGAGAGGAAAGAAGTGGGAGAGGAGAATGGCGGGAGAGAGGGAGGGAGAGATTGGTTTATGCGATACAGATAGTTCTATCAATGGGAGACATGAGTCCACTCTTGTCCCTCTCAAGGCAAGGAGTGTGATTCTGTGTGTGTCCACATTTAGAAACAAAAAAATAGAAAAACTTAGAAATAGAACAGAAGTATCTATTTTTTATACAACGTGGCTCTCAAATGCAAGCCAACAAATTCATCCCGTGGGTAACCAACTTCACAGTGATGTTTTTCCACTGGAGGAAACTGTGTTGGACTCACTAAGACATGCTGTGTGTTAATAGGTCTCCAACAGGACATGGACCATGGGCATGCATGCTGTATGTAAACAGTGACTTGGGTATTTTTTGCCCAGTTCACTGACTTAAACCTCAAACCCTTTGTATTATTAAGGAATTATTGTAAACTTTTAAGGGCATTTAGGGTTATTGTGATTTTTGAGACAGTCTCCCTCTGTCACCCTGGGTAGGGTGCTGTGGCGTCATCATAGCTCACTGCATGTGGTTATGTTTTTTCAAAGAATCTATACCTTGGAGACATACACTGAAATATTTTCAGATAAATGATATGTCTAGGATTCACTTCCTAATAACCCAGTGGGATGCGGGGAAAGTTGGCTGGGACACTGGCGAAACAAGAGTGGCCATATGTTGATAATTGCTGCATCTGGGTGTTGATTCGCAGGAGTTTGTTGTGCTAGCTTCTCTATGTTTGTCTGAAATCTTGCATTAAAAAAAAGTTTTAAATGTTTTTAAAGCAGGTGGGAAATTCCTTAAAGGCAGGCCCTCAATTTGTCTCATCCGTGTTTCTTCCAAAGGACCAACAATTACACCAACACGCTATAGGTACATCTTGGTTAGGTGGAAGTGGGGAGCCCGGGTAGGACGGCCCATGCTGAGAGAAAGGCATAAGGTATACCTCATGGTGCTGTAGATCCCGTTCAGCATTTGCCCTCATGTGCCTTATTTCATCCTTCATGTCTTCCAGCTCCTTTTGTACAAGATCGAGTTTTTGGTCAACAGTGAGGCCTACCATACGGTCCAAGCCTGTGCGGGATTTGGATTTACGCCTGCCCCGTAACTGCAATTCAGGAGAAACAAAGCCATTGTCAAAGAGAACTTGGTAATACAGCAGCCCAAGGGGGGCATCAAAATGATCCCTCAGACCTGCCAGAAATCACCCTAAGGACAGCCAGGGACAATAAGCTCATGGGGAAAGGATGCTGGCTGCTAGGCCTGAGGTGACGGTTATTTCAGAAGTCACCCTAAGGCCCTGGTGCTAACACTTCAAAGGCTTGTGTTACAATGAACTAAAAATAAATACAGGGACAATGCCTCCAGGGTGGAAAGGCAGTGAAGCTGTTGGAGACCAGCACTTAAGTCAATGTCAAGGGGAAGCTCAGTGCTTCCCAAACTGAACACAGACGAGAAATTGCATCTAGGGGCACAGTGTTCAGCAAAATAGACAAATAAACAAAAATATTAGATTTTCTATGCATTTATGGCCAAGGTCACAAGTGGGGAGGTACAGGGAATGTGTGGGACTGAAGATGGGTTTGTCTGGCCCTCAAAGCATGGACCTACATGGATAAGCCCTTTGAGCAAAGGGCCCACACCAGGCCTACTTCTCTCCCTTAGTCACATGGCTGGGCCTTGTAAACAGTTGAGCCACAATTTAAGGGAATTCTTTCAAATAAACTAAGGTATTCTGCGAGAGTCAATCTATTATTAATTGAACCCAATTCCCTTCACACTCACTTGAAAAAGAAACCTTCGAGGGGAAGGAAGAATCCAAAGTAGAACAGGGGGAAAGTCACATGGCCACTTGGCCAAAGAGGGCACATCAAAGGCAGATACACAAATACCATTTGCATGTAAGGGGACAAACAATAAAATAATTTCCATTGTGTACCTGTGCATAGTCTGCTGCTGCTATTTTAATTTCTGATACTCGTGAAGTTCGGTGTTCCCTTGGCTCCAGTTTGATGTAATATTTCTCAAACATCTCTGTCTCAATTTTGAGAGCAGAGTTTCCATAGCTGCAAGACAGAGGGTACCTGAGTAAGTTCTACCAATAGGAGTTTAAACCCCAAATAACTAGTATTTAACACTTATAAGCCACGTGTGACCTCCTGCAAGACACTTAGCCACTTGGAGCTTTAGTTTCCTCATCTATAAAATGGGAATAATAACAGAACCTACCTTTTAGGGTTACAATAAGGAATGCAAAGATTTCCGGACAGTGCCTGGCACATAGTAAGTGCTATTTTAAGTATTTGACATTTTTATTAATATGTTTCATGAGCCACAAAATTCAGAGCACTGGTGTTACACTGAAAATTGTTGTTACAGTTTTCAAGTATCATCTAACCTATTTGTGAAATCCCTTCTGAATTACTACATTCTTGAAGTTATACACCCAATCTTCAGATGTTTCCTTTGGTTCATGTTTCTCAGATCTTTTATTTCTAGCTCTCAGTAGATGAAAGTATCCACTGGAAGTTTATTATAAACTGTGGACAAGTGGTTTTTAAACAACTAGAGATGACAAGCCTAGTTTATCCTGGATATGCCAAGATTATGACCTTTTTAACTTAACTTCTCCTATACACACACACGTGTGTGTGTGTGTGTGTGTGCACACGTGTGTACGAGACAGAGAATGGCATTGATGTTTTCATGTATTATTGAGCTAATTCCTGTTTGGCTGTATTTTAAGACTAGTGGAAAAGGCTAAATGGAAAGCACAATGTATCAAAGTGTCTTGCTTTTTCAGCACATATCCTGTTCCAGGTGTATTTTGTTCCAGGAGTCACACCTGAGTCTGAATCCCAGCACTACCACTGACTGGCTGTGTGAACTTAGGGAAGTGACCGAACCTCTGTGTCTTTGTTTCCTTATCCACCTCCTAGGGTTGCTTGGTGCCATTATATAAGGTCACATATGTAAAATGCATGGGATATAACAACCATTCAAAAATGGTAGCTGTTAGCAACAATGCCTCAATTCTGACCTAAAACTATTTATAGATGTATAGAAGTAACATCTATTTCAGCTACTAGAGCCAGGATATTCTCTGTGAGACCAATAAATTGTACCATTAATCTTGACTACATCATGGAATCCTGATATCCAATTTACTTGCTGTAGCAGATATAAAACAGACTCCTAAAAAGGCAGACTATTGGGCTAACCATTCTTTACTGTCCATGTCCATGTCACAGCCTGGTTCAGGCACATGTGGCCTCATACTAAAATAATATCAAACTATCTTTCTATTCTGCGGGTATATTCGTTTTATCATAGAATCTTAGCATTGGAAAGGGGCTTAGAAATCACCTGGTTCAACCTGCCGCTGCAGAACAGGGGAGAGGCTAAGCATATACCACCTAGCACCAGACAGCCCCGCCAGGCTGAAGTCCTAGCATTACCCTCTGGGCTTCCCACTACCACCCCACCAGCCTCACCCCTGCACCCCGTTCTGGCTCCATCATCAGCTTGTTAGCTCAGTGGTGGTGGAAATGCAGAGGTAAAAAGACAAGTTCCCCCAGTGTCCAGTGCGGGCTTGGATCTTCTCCATGCGGGACCCAAGGTCTGAGGCTACCCGGGACTGGCGGAGCGCCCAGGATGGGGTGGAGGGGGGCGGCCTCCAGGCAGGTACCTGAGCTCCTCCACCAGCCTGCACAGCTGGATAACAGGCAGCTCGTTCTCCTCCCCCGTCTGGGACTCGGTGTGGACGCTGACGCTCTCGCTCTCGTTGTCATCATCACTCATCGCTCTGCCGAAGTGGCCCTCGCCAATGCCGAGTGTGCTCGGGAGCGCCGGGTGCTAGCTGCCACGCTGTCACTCAGGCCGCGATCTAGCTAGCGGAACCGCGCGTTGCCCAGACGACCGGACGCGTGGGAGGCGGAGCTTCCGGCAGCCCCGCCCAGCGCTCCCGCAGCCTATTTCCGCGCTGACCTCAAAGAAGTTGCCAGCCTTAACCCAGAGACACCTAAGCGTTCACTTTCTATACTGCAGCTACTGTTTGCTCAGCACTTACTGTGTCCTTGGCACCGTATTAAGCATACGTTATGAAAGTCCTTGCAACAACGTTGTAGCAGTATCTATTATTCTCTTCATTCTCCAAACAAGGAAACTGAGGCCCAGAAAGTTAATACAATTTATCAGAGTGTCTTCCTTTCCCTGCCTCGCTGTGAGGCCCCTGCTCTGTTCACCACCTGGAGCTTTATACATGCTAACTACAGTTTCTCTCAGATATCAACATCCTGTAGTTCCAGAAGAAAAAAAAATGTGGCTGATTATAACATGGGTATAAATTCAGGAGACATCCCTAAATAGGCACTGGATATCTACTATGTCCTTAGTATCTTGAGGGAATGTATGGAAAAAAACCACTGTAGCCCCCAAGGAGCTTCCAGTTAAATGAGGGAAACTGCCCCTAAAAAAGCCGTTGCAACATGGGGTGATGAGAGTAATAACATCGTGCCTCATGCTGCGCTTCATAGTCATCAACTCATTAAACCCTAAAAACAGGCACATGAAATCTGTATTGTTGTTCTCATCTTACAGACCAGGAAACCGAGGAATAGAGTAGCTTAGATTCCGTTGCACACAGGAATGGACTCAAGCTCTAGCGGAAGCGAAGTCCGTGCTGTTAACATCTACCCCGACATGTGACAAGGCAAGGATCAGCGAGGCAATAGGGATGCTTTCTGTCTATTCCCCATTGGGATGGAAGAGCACAGAGGGCAGGATGGGCAAACTTCTCTTAAGAGAGGGTGGGCCCTGAATGTGGTTAGAAAGCAAACTGTGATGAACTGCTTGGGCTGGGTGTCAGCCCCCTTCCCCTACAAGGGACATGCATTAATATCAACAGGCAGTCACTAGACTCTAAAAGAGGGCTTTTGTTCGGCTGCTTAGCCTGTACAAGTTTGGGGCCAGAGTGGAATTACTGGAGATGATAGCACAGAGACTGAGCCCTGCCACCACCCTTCTCTGCTGGTAGGCCTTTTTGGGCTCTGGGAGCAATGAAGACTACATTTAGGAACATCTAATATGTCTATATACCAGGTGACACAAATGGGTGCCAGCCTCAAGTGAATGCAGAGCAATAAAGGGCTCTACAGCAAGTCCAGGCTTTGATGCAAACAGCCCTGCCAATTGAGCCATATGACACAACAGACCTTATGGCATTGGAGGTTGTCAGTGGTGGAAAAAGATGGAGCATGAAGTTTAAACTTATTCACTGAAGTTTTCTTTTAATATTCCAATTGTTACTTTTTTTCTTTTTGAGACAGAGTCTCGCTTTGTCGCCTGGGCTAGAGTGCCGTGGAGTCAGCCTAGCTCACAGCAACCTCAAACCCCTCGGCTCAAGCGATCCTCCTGCCTCAACCTCCCGAGTAGCTGGGATTACAGGCGCACATCACCACAACTGGCTAATTTTTCTATTTTTAGTAGAGACAGGGTCATGCTCTTGCTTAGGCTGGTCTTAAATTTCTGACCTCAAGCAATCCTTCCACCTCAGCCTCCCAGAGTGCTAGGATTACAGGCGTGAGCCACCGCAGCTGGCCTAGATGTTCTATTTTCTTCCTGTTCAAATCTGCATTGGTCACGTATTATGGTTTCTTGTTTACTGTAAACATTTTAAATTTTGTCTTTTATTTCTTTAAACATGTTAAACCTATTCATTCTAAAGTCTCAATTGTATAACTGAAGTCTTTGTGAGGTTTTCTTGCCTCTGATTTGGATGTTTAGAGAAGTTTTGACTTATAAATTCCTGAGTGGAAAGGAAGTAACCTAAGACTATTACACGTAGCTAAGCTGCTGGGTAAAGGCAAAAGGAAAACATTCCCTATCATAAAAAACTCAGAGAATAAAATTCCAGGACACTTTCTTGAAAAGACTCAATGATAAATACAGCCAACAAAGAAGTCAACCAAAGCAAGTATTTTAGGACAGTGGAAACAGGAGGAATGAATCTAAATATAGAAGCAAGACTAAACAACTCTGTACATTGATTCTAAAACCAACTGCAAATGATAGCACAATTATAATATAAATTTATAACATAATGAAATTAGCAGATGGAGAGAGGAGGCTGTAGAAAATGCAAGGCTGCTAATTGCTTTATATTTCATAACAAGAAATCAACAGTGCTATCTAAAATTACAATGTGTAGTTGAAAAATGATTCCAATACCTTCATGTTATTATAATCTTTTTTATTACAGATAAGTCTTTTAGCAATTAATATTTCTTGCGATAAAGGAACATTTATTAAATTCCAATAATTCCTTTAGTTTTGCTATATTTTCTTTTCTTGTGTTAAATTCAAGTAAAATTTCAGAACTGTTCATTAAAAATGCATTAAAGATTCACTAAGAATGAAAAAAAAGAAACATGTCAATTTGTAGTGAAAAAATATATCATTAAAACTCAGCTGGGTGAGGTGGCTCATACCTGTAATCCTAGCATTTTGGGAGGCCAAGATGGGAGGATCGTTTCAGGCCAGGAGTTTGAGACTAGCTTGAGCAACAT